TGTACAATGAAAGGTTGTCCTTTCTAAATATAAACCTTTTGTTTGCACTTTTGGAAGAAAGGGGGATTTGGGAAAGGCTTGGGGGGGGGGGGATCAGGAAAATCAGTGTATACCTGGCAAAGGAAAAAGTGATCAGTCCCTTTGTGAATCCCACACACACTTCCAGATACTCCAGAGATCCAATCCAACAGTGTAAACAATTGCCTAGAATCATTTCAGACTGGATTGAAATGATGACGCCATTACTCTCATGCAATCCTATCTGCTTACCATTTGCACAAAATGTTGAGATCACTACACTTACTTAAAATAAGACCTATTGTAAATGATCCAGCTTGCATATATGCTCCTTCACTGTAACACTCTCTGTGTAATACTCTAATGACATACATAAGATCAAGAAGCCAATACCTTAATCCACAGCAAGGTAGAGAATGTAGCCGCTGGTCACCAGTAATGTGTGTATACACATATAGTCATGTTGGATTACAACAGCTATTCGGAGTTAGTTACCTTGGGCAAGTTGGTCACAGAAAATAAATGCAGGTCTTGAGAACTAGCTTTGGAACTTTATGTGTAAGTGTTGTTTATTCCTATGATTAAAGAATTGCAAATACAATGAATTTTAAAAAAATTTCCCTGCCCCCCAAATCCCAAGGGTACAGATTGCCAGTGGAGCAGCAGCAGAGCAGTGCATTAATGAGGACCTGGGCTTGGCATCTTGCTGGGGCCTCATAAGCACATGGCTGTTCCCAGCTTCATTTTTAAAAGAATGTAAAACCATCCCAAAATTTGGCACCAGGGGGACTATTGGCAATTTGAACTCCGGCTAGCTAGGGAATCTGGGAAGCCTCAGGTGACAATTCCAAAGCTTTGGCAGTGCTGTTTAGGGAAGCTTCACATGCAAACTTCTCAAATCAATTTTCCTAATGGCCAAATTCAACCTTCCCAGGTCCCTAGAGAAGAGGAGCAGCCAGTGTGCCACAGGGCACCCCAGGAGTGATGTCTACAGACCCCCAACAGCTGGAAAAGGATCAGGGAGAGAGAGCTCCAAGAGGTCATGGGGGAAGGGGACCAAGCACTCTGATTTTAGACATAACTATTAATCAAACTGCTACTATTTTGCCTAGAATTTCTATCTTTTAAAAATCTACAAGCCATAGTGAGGAGAAAAGAGGCAGAAAGGGAGTAGGAAATATACACTCTATTTGGTTAAAGTCAGAATTGTATTAATTCTATAAAGCAAAATTTAGAAGATGCCTTGTGAACCTCATAGAAAGTTACATAGCTCGTGACTCAGAACCACCTATTAAGAAATTTGCAGGGTAAATAAACAATAACTTACTAATTTAGTAGCTTTTCTTTTACATCTTCACCAAAACATTACTATTTTCATTTTAGACAGTAAAAATGATTGTGAAATTTAAAGATGTTTTGCCCTTATTATTCTACATTTTTGTGTTAAGTTAAAAATAAAAAGGAAAGTACGACTATGGACTGTAAAATGCTGACACTGCTTATTGCTGAACTTGAGTTAAACGGCAGGCTGTGGCAACTCTCCAGAGTCAGGACATCCTAAATTTCAAGCAAACCCAGCCACGTGGCCTGACTGTCCCATCACTGATCACAACCAGCATTTGTTTCCACATTCCCCTCTCCATCTTCACCCCAATACACACATCCAAATGTCTCTTAGGCAAATGCTTAAATCTAAAATGGTGGCAGATATTTTATACTAGAACATTCTATAGCTAAAAAACAATAACCAAGTTCTAATTCTAACTGCTGGAAAATACAGTATACAAAAGTAAGCACATCTCTTGGGAAACCATTATTAATTCTCATTGCAGTCAAAGAAAGGTAAGTGCTTGGAGGAATCGAGACAGACTGCAGTCCTTGGCAGCCACAAGGCAGTCTTTTCATTCTTCTGAATTCTCTCCTGGAAACCACTTTGGGAAAGCCCTACAATGAAGGGGGGGGGGGAGTGCCCGCAACGGGGGGGGGGGGGCCCGC